AGGTGGTCGGGCAACATAAGCTCCCCACTTGCGACGGTTCCTTCTTTGGCTCCGCCGCCTTACAAAGACAAGCAAGACAGGCTTCCGAAACGTCTCTTCAATACTCTCATGTACATGCTGTTGCCTCACCCAAGTTTGGCATGTGCTGACTGGGAGCTATCGGATCCTGTCTGTTTCAACCTGGGATGCCCTCCATAGCCAAATCATTCAATTCCACACAAACATTCAATTGCACATATTTAAACTCAGTGCGTGCATCCTCGTCGGACTCTAGCGAAGCCGGCAGAAGGGCACACCGTGAAACACGAACTCGCCTTCGAACCCGATAGCGTGGATGCGCCCCCTTCTGCCGAAGTGTCGTCCTGTCACTTATGCAGCGGAAACGAAGAAAGAAGAGTTCGGAGTGCAACCAACAATGTCGAAGAAGTGGCTGAATGGGGAGGGAGGGGGAGGGAGGGAGAGGGAGGGAGGGAGAGGGAGAGGGAGGGAGAGGGAGGGAGAGGGAGGGGGAGAGGGAGAGGGAGAGGGAGGGAGAAGGAGGGAGAGAGAGGGAGAAGGAGGGTGGGAGGGAGGGGAGAGAGGGAGGGAGAGAGGGAGCAAAGAAGGTCGACATGCTGAAGCTTACCAGTTACCACACCCCACCGCCCACCTTGCTGAAAGCGTAAGTGCAAGAGCTAGAGGGCTTCGGGTCGCCCTCTTCCTCGTAGTGGCTGCAAACTCCACGCTCGTCGACGTCCAGGCTGAAGCCCCGGCACTCGGGATCGGCGGTGCAGAGAAAGGCACAGCGCTGTACTGATATCTGGATGGCGACTTCGATGCTCCGGCTCCAAGATCCTCTCAGAACTAGCTTGTATCCCGCCAGCTGCAAAGGAGGGCAACGGTCGTCAAATTCCTGCGGCCAACAGGAAGACACATCAACATCTGCATCGTCTAAATGGGACTCTTCGCAGAACATGTTTTGAGAAGTGCCTGGCAAACCTCAAACAGTGTTTGAGCTGGCCAGGCTGTTTCAGAGCATAGCTCCCCATTTTCGAGAGATTTGAGCGGCTGTGTCGCATCGAAATTCAAGCAAAGCTTCTGCCTTGTGCACTTCTGCATGACGGCATGTCAACGCCAGCCGGGTTCTGAATGACAAGTGCCATGCATTTGGGAGGGCTTGTTTTCACATCTCCAGGGTCGCAAACGGTGGTGGCCGACCCTGGCTTACAAATCAACCCACCTCACTCACTCACTCACTCACTCACTCACTCTTTCACACCCAAGTGCCAGATGCCCTCAAAATCCTCACAATTTTCGTTTTCTGGTTCCAGTTTAATCAAATCATCTAACGTTGTCTTGTGTTCGTGTGTCTATCGATTCGCGCTGTAAGCCCTATCATGAACTGATGTGAAACCTTGTCATGGCCAAGCAGTCTCTTGTTGTGGTCTGAAACACTACTGCGCTGATCGTGGCTGCAAGACCGGCCCTTTTTCAGTTCTTGATCCAGCGCCTGCGCTGCCGGTGACCCAAACTTCGAGGATGATACATACGTAGACGGAGGCCCGATGCAAGGCACCGTATTAGTAGTGTCGCGGATGGAGCATTTGGCGCACCAGGCCATTAGCTCTTAAAGAAGCTCAAGTGCACGGGCTCTTCGCGTGGTCTTGGTGAGCTTAGCTTCAAGTCCTTGATGGCCTGTTGTGGGCGCGTCGGCTACCACCTTCGTAACGCGGTTTGTGGCAACGGCCCCTGCACGAAAAGACTTATCCAGCATCCGTGGCGTAGCTGCCGTGTCAAACGCATGGAGTGTCGCAAAGGCTCGCTTGCCAGTCAGCTCATGCGCTCTTCGCGCTTGAAGCAGCCGCAAGAGAAATGCGTCTTGTGCATTCGCTCGTGTGACCTGTGTACGTGGAGCAATATCGAACCACGACGCCCCGCCTGGGAACTAACGGAGTTCCACATACCCACCAC